AAAAAAAAAAAAAAAAAAAAAAAAAAACGTCGTTTGCCGTTATGAAAACATCAAGATCGATCAGCTTGTGGACGCTATCATAGCGCCTGATAGGCAGGCAATATCTGATCTGCCGTTCATTCGCGCACTGCGGGGTGGCCTACCTCGAGCCACGCAGGCGCTGTGCCTCTGTAAGTGGGTGAATTAATCTGAGAAAAAACGGACATACTTTCTGGACGGTACGTTACGGTTGCGGCCAAACCATATGACGCATTTTGGGAGAAACAGAGGGGGGGGGGCAAGTCACCTGGTTTTGACATTTTGTCGACAGTATTTTGTGATTATCTGCCTAAAAAAGGCATATTTTTGAGGAACAGAAAATACAAAGATCCGTTTTTTTTTGGGAGATAAAACACTGAATTCTGCCGGTGCTCAATCGCAAAGTCACCACCAAATTCAGTTATTAACATCAGGCGTTGTTCGAGGCGCTATTCGAGGCGCTGTTCTAAGGGCTGTTCGAGGCGCTGTTCGCGTCAGATCGACGTATAAAATCGACCCTCTGGAATTTCTGACTTGGTTCGTGAAAACGGTAGCCCCTTTCATGCTGCATATGCCCGCAGAAGCGTTTTGCGATACCTCAAAGGGTTTGGCGTCCAGAGCGTGTTTAAGTCGTCCTCTTCACTACCCTCCCACCGACCACCGACGCTATGCAGCGTGACAGTACATGCCAGGACCAGGAGCTTTTCCTCGCTGTTCTCCGATTACAAATATGTTGAGTAGTTTGGGACATATCGCACAAAAATTTAAAAATGAAGTATGTGTTTTTGTAAATCAAGGAAAAAATGTGCATTCAATCGAGGATGAGGAGAATGCGACGGGGGTCTACGTCGCACCCTTAAAAAATTGGCTGCCGTTTGATTATTAAAATGTGGGATTCAGTGTGATTTAATGCACTAAAATGAATTTTTTATTTTGATAGCTGCAGTGTGACATAGTTCAGTGTTTTTAAGACGTGGGGGTCGGGCACA